GAGGGGGGGGGGGAGGACGGGGAGGAGGAATGGGGAATCCGTGCGTCGAGGAAAAGTTATATAATCGGTATGTGTGTGTGTATATATATATATGTGTGTTAATAGCTGTCTACCGTGGAAACGACATCGCCGACATCACTAGCATATCTCTCTTTCTCTCACATATAATACACATACACACACATCTGTGTATATATATATATATATATATATATATATATTGCAAATCGCGCAAGCAATTTCGTCCTTTCTTCGTCCCACTCACCGCCGTCCTTCCATACATCTTCACCCTTCTCCCCCCTCCCTCCCTTCCTCCCCCCCGAACCCCGCCGTCCTTGCGTTTTTCTCCCAAGACCCTGCCGCCTTCTTTTTTTCCACCACAGTGCGAGGATAGTGTGTGCGTGCTACGACGATGGTCGTACCCTCCGTTCTTTGACGTTCACGAGAGCAGTGCGACCCGCTGCCACGGCGGTGGCGCTGCCGCCGTCGAGGTGCACGATTCGAATATTCCCCGTTCCCATCCTTCCTGGCATCATCGTGTGCTCCGCGAGAGTGAGAAGGAATGAAAGAGGGACCGAGTGAGCGGGCGAGCGAGAGAAGGGAAAGAAAGAATGGAACACACGGATGTGTGAGTGCTGCGCGTGTAGATACACGCGGCACATACGTCTGCTTTCTCTCTCTCTCTCTCGTAGAGCTGGTTGAGGCACTCGCTCACTAGCAGTCGGTATATACATCGCGTAAGTACGGCGGTGTGAGTGGCCTATAAGGATCAGATACGCGTATCACGTGTAACACACGGACGTGGCCGCACGAAGGGTGTGTGCGCGTGCATGTGTGTGCATTTACGTACCGCGCGCACACGTGCGTGTGCCCAGCGCTACGTGTACGTGTATATGTAGCGCGATGCGCGAGCACTCTTCTAGCGAGAGCGTGTCTGCCTGCCTGCGTTCGTTCGCTCGCATCGCCGTCGGTGCGCCACCCAGCGGGCTTCTCGCACGTCTTTCGCGTTCTTGTTGCTCGCCTCACACTCGCCCGAGAGATTTGCTGGCTACTTCGCAGAGCCGATTCCCCGAGCCAACGCATCGCCATGTGATTCGCCAGTTCGCGAGCGCAGCCAGCCCGATCGTTCTTCTCTCTCGCCAGCCTGGACCCGTCTGTATGCTGTCGTCGTGGCGTTCCGTGTCCCCGTGTGCGCCCGCCTGCTGCCCGATGTGTGCGTGGAAACGATCGCGGAGAACAGAGCCACCATATTATTCTATGTCTTACTAACGGCGCTTTAACGGCCTCCGTCGCTTCCACGGCGAGATTCGCGTTATAAGCTTCTCAAGTGCTACTTATGCATCGGACATAATCGTGGTCAGCGACGGCGGAGGGAGGAGGAGGAGGAGGAGGTGAAGGGTGAACCTCGAACGAATCTCAGCGCGTCGTCGTGTCGTTCGTCGTCGTCGCTTCGTCGTGATTGTCGTCATCGTGTGTCTCGGGAGCAACGGACGAAAGGTGCATTCCCGACGCGCGAGAGTGGGTACCGCCTTCTCACACTCGGTGACACTCGAAAAAAAAACAGCAGGGCGACGCGCGATGTGTAGTTACGCGAGTACGCGGAGTTCACCGGTCGCGTGGTAAGTGTCAGTGCCGTCGTTTGGGGGAAACGTCGTTGCTTATTGTTCTGCCACGCGACCTAGACGTGATCGTGCTGGAGAGAGAAAGAAAAAAATACGCGACTACTTGCTTTCACTTCGTGTTCCCGATTTACGCTGATTGTCTCGCGTTCGCCCTCTCCGCGGAACGATCGCACCGTCGATCAACGTCGTCGTCGTGTTCCCCCGCGATACCCTCCTAGGTGGGTGCATGCAGGACTTTTCGCGGATGGTAACGCGTTGATGTACGTTGATGCACGCGCGAGAAGGAGAGAGAGAGAGAGCGAGTGAGTGAGTGAGAGAGAGAGAGTGAGAGAGCACCGCGGTGGCACCTCTCCACTCTTCGATACAATAGCTTCCTGGTAAATAGTTTTGCACACAACGAGCGTTCGATTCTCGACATCTCGCTCTCGGTGATGCGCGCCTCCGTGATTTGTACACACGCCTTTATCCGCCTTCCGTCGATCAACGATGCCGTCACCACCACCGCCGTCGTCGCCGCCGTCGTCACCGCCGTCGCCGCCGACGTTCCCGGTAACTCGACTCTGTGCGAAAAATAACCTCAATTCCTCGCGGTGTTCCCTCTTGTCGCGGACGCATGAGTGGGGAGGGGGAGGGGAAGCTCGTTAGTACTGTTCGGGGATCCCGATACCTCCGTGTCTCCTCGAATCGTGGATCCGTTAAACTGTCGTTCCGCAGATATATCGCGTGTGTGCCTCGTTGAAGAAATGACTCAGCGATACATATTTCACATTCACGTTGGAAGTTTTTGATAAAAGAATACAAATTCTGTTTGTAGAGCTGCTCGTGCGCTAATTCACCGCTCGGATACCAAGAAACAGACGTACCGCTGCATTGTTATCCGAGCTTAGTTTTTTTTTAAATAATTTTGTACGTTACATTGTTCGTGTATAAGGCGAGTTAAATATATCAACGAATAGGAAACGGAGGTCCCGCAAGGAATAATCAGTGTCGTGCAATGAACGTGCCGTTGACAATGCTCTTGTCGACTTTCCACATATTTCCTTTCGTACATTATGTATCGTCACAAAAATGTCTGAATGTTCATAGTGTGAGAATCACATGGTGGGTCGTAAATAGAGCGCGAGGCGTGTAACCAACCCTATTGTATATCACTGTGTCTTGTGTCTCTTGCGCGGAAGAAATTAGTCTTAGAGATCAAGAATAAATGTTCTCATATATAAACAAGAATATCATAATCTTCTTAGGAAACTTTTAGTCCTGATTTGATTGAATTTATATTGATGCATGTATCACGTCGACTCAATTCAAGACTAAGAATCTTCTAAAAAGATTATGATATTCTTGCCAATACATGACGATATCTGTTCTTGATCTAATGATTAATTTTTCCCCTGTGTATGCATGGAGTTTTATGTTTTCAGTTTTACAAATACCCCTTTTTTTTATATGATTGTAGGTGGAGTGTTTTGCAATTGATCAAGTTGAGATAGACGAAGATCACCCAGAGACTTCAAAATTTCTGTTGACTCCTGAAGACCCCGAACGTTCTGTGGATCCTGAAACTCAAGCACGTCTCGAGGCCCTCCTCGAGGCAGCTGGTATTGGAAAGTTATCATCGGGTGATGGGAAGCACTTAGCTGACCACGAAGTGCTTCGACGTTTAACATCTAGTGTTTCTTGTGCATTGGATGAAGCGGCAGCAGCATTAACACGTATGCGCAGTGACAATCCACGCACACCTAACGAAAAGCGCACTCTTATAGAGGCGTGTACCGACGGTGACGTCGGTACCGTTAGAAAATTGTTAACAGAGGGACGGAGTGTTCACGAAACCACCGAGGAGGGTGAGAGTTTGCTCTCCTTGGCTTGCTCAGCGGGTTATTACGAACTTGCTCAGGTTTGGATCCAAATGTATTTACATTTCCCTATCTATGTGAATTCGTGCACACACAGGTGCGATCAGTGTGAATCCTAATGCAAAATTATCATGATGATCATTTGCGAGATATCTTACCAAAGTGCATGGGCGTGTGTTACTGTTATACGTGTGGATAAGTAATTCCCGGTACACACGTTTAACAGGCAATTTTGTGGCGATATGCGTGATAAATGAACGATGGATTTTATTTTGTGTAGACTTATCGAATAAGTTTATATAATTGTGAGTTACAAGTTTATGTGAATTATTTATGTGATAGAAAAGAGACCTACATGCCTTTGTCGTACAAACTTTGTAATATATTTCGCTTGATTGGTACACGTAGTATTGTTATATTTGAAATATATGTGCAAGCAGTTGATTGTCACCGCACTGATAACAATTCATTTTAAATGACTGTAATAATAAATTGGTACAGCAGTTGTTATCATTTATGAAAAAAAGAAAATAACAGGAAGAAAAAAGATTTGTGCAAAAATTATGTCATTCAACGTCCCTGTAATATTTATACAAATTATCTTATAATTGACTTAAAGTTACAGCACAATGTAGATTATCTTATTCTAAATTGGTTTTGTGTATGTGTGTTTGTAGTACAAAATTCCGTGATTTCTATATTAGTATATATATGAAATATGAACGATGTAAATTTGTCCACATAATATTCTCTGATATTACTAAAATATTGTAAGAATCATATTAATAAGTGATAGCTACTGCTTGAAATGATAATAAATTTAGAGAAGTAAATTTGAATTTTGCAGAGAATCTTTACATTTGTTATTATGCTTATCTACTTTTGTAGTTATTCTTATGTAATTGCTGAATGCAACACACTGTAATTTATATTAAATTAGCTAAAGTTAACAATATATTTAATTGCTCAGACAAGTTATGAAAAATGTTCACTGCTTGTATCAAGTTTTCTTTATTATATTTAATATATTAACATCCGGTCTGGTCTTTATATCCGCGGTTCTCGAACTATCTTGTAACTTTTCAACTTTTCTTTCTTTCCCATCAATATCAAATGTACATACATCCACTTTATCTTAAGCATAGACCTATATTATAGTTACTTACGTTAGTGCAACTATATGAACAGACCTGTATTATGTTTCAACTTTTTTCTCTTGTTTATCTGTCATATTTCTAAATGACGTGAAGTTGGCATTATAACGATATAATCAGGAAATAAGCGAATTAAATCAAAATTAGTCTTATAGACTGATGAAAACCGTCTGTCAACGAGTTTTTCCATGAAACAGGTTCTATTAGCAATGAATGCTAACGTGGAAGACCGAGGTATCAAAGGGGATTGTACTCCTTTGATGGAGGCTGCGAGTGCTGGACATGTGGATATCGTGAGCCTGCTTATCGCTCATGGTGCCGATGTTAATGCTCAGTCAACTTCTGGTAAAGTTCCACGCTTAGTTATTTATTAGTTATTCACACGCAACATCATACTTGATATAATCATATATATTTTACATAATCTTGTACTTTATATCTACTTTATGTAACATCGTCGACTTAATAGTACATTTAATTCCTCGTCACACACAATCTATGCATGAATTCTTAAGGTGGCGTGACATCGTGTTGACTAAAAAAGTAAACAGCCGTATTCAATCATATTTTATCATAGGGAATACACCTCTTATGTACGGATGTGCCGGTGGTCATGAGGATGTGGTACGTGTCCTGTTGGAAGCAGGAGCCAATGTTGAAGATCACAATGAGAATGGCCATACACCTTTGATGGAGGCAGCAAGTGCTGGACATGTTCCAGTCGCTAAGATCTTGCTGGAACATGGTGCTGGCATCAATACTCATTCCAATGAATTTAAGGAGTCAGCATTAACATTGGCCTGTTACAAAGGACATTTAGAGATGGTTCGATTTTTACTAGAGGCTGGCGCAGATCAGGTACAGTATTCTTCTGTCGCTTTCTCACGAAAACCTATATATAATGGGTGTTTTTACAAATATTGCTCAGTATGAAGCAAAGAAGGGGAAACGGCTGGATAAACGTTAGATATATTTTCAAGGTTTCATTAATATGGCACCTTCAATTGTTACAGGAACATAAGACCGATGAGATGCATACAGCACTTATGGAAGCGTCGATGGATGGTCACGTAGAAGTAGCGCGCTTACTCTTAGATTCAGGTGCCCAAGTAAACATGCCGACGGACAGCTTCGAGTCTCCGTTGACATTAGCTGCTTGCGGAGGCCATGTGGACCTCGCAATGCTTTTAATTGAACGCGGTGCTAACATCGAGGAAGTTAACGACGAAGGTTACACGCCTTTGATGGAAGCAGCACGTGAGGGCCATGAGGAAATGGTGGCGTTACTTTTAAGTCAAGGTACGTAACGTTGTTTCGAATCGTTTAAACTTGTCCGTTTTTGAACTTGCGTTTTGCACAGGCGCGAACATCAATGCCCAAACTGAGGAAACTCAGGAGACGGCGCTTACGTTGGCTTGTTGCGGAGGTTTCCTCGAAGTAGCTGATTTTCTAATCAAAGCGGGTGCCGACGTCGAGTTGGGAGCATCCACTCCTCTAATGGAGGCTGCCCAAGAAGGACACTTAGATCTTGTCCGGTATTTACTGGAGTCGACGTCGGACGTTCACGCTCAAACTCAAACAGGAGATACAGCATTGACATACGCCTGTGAAAACGGTCATACCGATGTTGCTGATCTTCTGCTTCAGTATGGAGCTGATCTGGTATGTCGTTAATAACTGCGAATTTTTAGTAGCACCAAGTTGCGTGAATTTTCGTTGAATTACTTGGCTCAACTTTTGTTAAATATACGAATTACATACGTTGGTTTATTACTGTGTTATAGGAACACGAGTCAGAGGGAGGTAGGACTCCGCTAATGAAAGCTTGCAGGGCTGGTCATCTGTGCACAGTTCAGTTCCTTATTTCAAAGCGTGCCGATGTCAATCGACAAACAACAAATAATGACCACACTCCTCTCTCATTGGCGTGTGCTGGTGGTCATATCGCTGTGGTGGAGCTGCTTTTGGCGCAATCGGCTAACCCATTTCATAAATTGAAGGTAAGCCCACATATTTGAAATGATAATACTCGAATGAATAACATCTTCGTTCGCACGATTATTTTCTTCGCGCATTCAGACACAACATGAGAGCGAGAACCCTTGACTATAACTTGTAATATCCACAAAAAAATAATATAACATGCTAACTATCTCTTGACGCACATGTTAAATCTTATCGTTTTTAGTTTTTCTATTGTTTTGACAAATATATGGAAAATTCGGATTGATTCATACAATTCAATGAGATATACATTGTAGGATAATTCCACCATGCTGATCGAAGCAGCAAAAGGTGGCCACACCGCTGTTGTACAACTCCTACTGGATTACCCTCACAGCATTATGATGGGCGCGCCGCATAATGCTGCACCTGCTCCTATGTTATTACCGCAACAACAACAACAGCAGCAGCAGCAACAACAACCACAACAACAACCGCCGCCACAACAGCCGCAACAGCAGCAGCAACAACAGCCGCAGCATCAGCAGCATATAAGTCATCAGCAACACGTACCTCATCCGCAGACATCTGCGCAACCGCAGCAGCAGCAGCAGCAGCAGACTGCGGAGCAACAACAGGCGCAAAATCTCCAGCCGAAACATAATACGCAAAAGTCATTGTTAAGGAAAAATCGATCTGTGACCATGATGCCTGATATGAGCCTTACCTCAGCCGAAGCGCAACAGGTTCGTTCGCAGCCCGCAGGAGAGTCTGTCGCTACTACCAAGGATGATACCAATATCCTCGATAAAGGCAGCGGAGGTTTCACGAGTCTATCAGAACCTAATATTAGCCTTAGCCCGACGTCAACATCTACGCAAGGGGTCAATGTCAGCGAAAGTCGGAAAAATACTAGACAAGAGCAAATCCTTCATAAGCAACAAATACTTGAAGAATTACAAGTACGTCCTATGTTATTCTCATGATAATGTCCTTTTAATTAATCTTGACGGAAGAAATAAGTTCATAAGAATTCTTGCTGTTGTTGGAGCTAAATCTAAGTTCACAATAGGTGTGATAAGCTTTGAGTCTTTTGTTCTAAGTAATAAAATGTGATGTCATTTCTGACACAAGACGTGCTGCTAAAAATTCTAATAACTCTTAAATATTAGGAATTGCAACATCTCATAACGTTAGAAACGCTTTTTGCTAGAAATTACAATTACAATTTAATGCTTAGAACAAAGGGTTTATAATCACACCCATTGTGGATCTGAACTAACGAGTTAGATGAAAAATATGTCCCCCCTCTCCCCTTTAAGGCTTCTGTGTCCTCGCTTTGATGGTTGTCCTTGTTTGATGACGTCAGGAGCGAGAAATTGCACGCTAAAATATATAGAGATATACGTGACGTTAAAAGAATATATGCACAAAATGATCGATTTGACTCGTAATCGATTCAGCACGCAAAAAAGTGTTTTAATATTTTCCTTTAATCTGAGCAATCAATAAATAGCCATGAGAAAGATATCGTGAAAAGAGATAGGTTAAAAATGTAAGTTGTATGTTACACTTCGGCTATTTATTGATTGTTGAAGTTTAAAGGAAAGCGTCCAGACATTTTTGCAAGTATACTGAATCGATCACGAGTGACATTTTGCGTGTATATTCTTTCATCTTCACTGCACTTCATACCGTAATATATTTTGGCATACAATTTCTCCCTTCCGACGTCATTAAACAAGAAGAACAGCCATGATAAGGACGCGGAAACCTTAAATCTTACCATTTTAATTTATCTTTTTTCAGAGGGTAGAGCGAGAATTACAAAGTAAGGGCGCCGGTCACTTATTTTCTGGTCCACGGAATTCCATAATAAATCAACCTCAGCAGCAAACGCAGCCGCAGGATCCGACTGAAGCGGAAGCGTTATTACCCGGAATGCTGAATATCGACTTACCAGCTCAATCGGCAACATCTCCGCATGGTATTCCTCTCTCATTATTATTGCTCGTCGAAAATGTAATACTAGTTGGAAAAAAAAATGACAACGTGTATAACGTTGAACCGATGACCTATTCTGTTCGAAAGGTTTGGTGTGCAATACTGGTATGTCTGGCACTTCATTAACGTACCAAGGGACTAGCGATGCGGCGTTGGTCTGCAGCGCTTACCTCGACGGTAAGATAATGGGACTGCAGCAGTTCCAGAAGACGTTGTCCGTCGCGCCGACTACAGCGGAGACGTTCCCCACGAGTACGTTTCCCTCTTCACCACCCCTGACACTCGCACCATTACCCACTACGACTGCCGTCTCGTTGGTCACCTCCAACACCTCCTCGACAACCACACCGAGTCCGCCGAGTATCTCCACTCCCCCGACCGTCATAGCTGTTTCCCAGCCTATCACCGCGAGCAGCGACGTTAGCCAGAACACTGCTATAAGCGATCGTCCGAAGGCTAAGCCGGTGTCTAAGAAGGAAGGGAAAAACGTGCGAAAGGCTGCGAGCGGCATGGCGGTGGCGAAATTACAGCAAACGCAGGCTAGCCTCATGGCCGGGCTCCAGCAGCAATATCAGCAAAAGCAACGTCAACATACCTATCAAGTACAACAGGTTCATCAATTGCAGCAGCTCAATCAGCAATTGCAACTCCAGCTAGATCAAGTGCAGGTGGACTTCTTCTCCCCTTACTTCGCTTTGTTTCCATACGTTTCGTAACATGATACGATATTGTTTAAATTTCCATTGGAAATTCTCGCATTTTAATCGGAGCTCTGGGATGAATCCCTTCGAGCACTTTGAGTGACATTCGTAATAAGAATGTGTCAGATCGAGTCGTTAAGAATATTTTACAAGCGAATGCATGGGAGAGATGTTAGCATGTATGACATCTACGATCTGTTTTCTCATACAATACGCAACGCGCGCGTAAGATCGATATTTTTAACGGGTCTGTTCTCTCCTCAAATTCAGATACAGCAGCAACACCAGCAACTGCAGCAACCGCAACCGCAACAACCTCAACAACAACAACAGTCCCAGCAGCAAGCTAATGTAGTTGGTAACAATGCGAGTAGCATATTAATGCCCACTCAACTGATGTCGCATTTACACCCTACGCATACTCACCACTTGCACAGCCAGGTGAACCAGGTAAGCCGTGGAAATAGTTAAGTACTCGCCGGTACTCTTAGTCCCGATCTACAATAGTGTTTTAAGCTTTAAGAAATTAACCAATCACAATTGATTATTCTCCTATGACTCGATTATGATCGGTCAATTTCTTAAGGCTTAAAGCACCCGTTGTAGACTAGGATTCACATCGAAGCGCATTCTCTCTCTGCAGCAAACGCCGCAAGAAAATCTTCCCGAGCAAGCGGATCCCGAGTTGGCGCGAAAATACAGGGAAAGCGCTTGCGCGTTTTTTACCGGGGCTCAGAAATCGAAGACCTTCTCCGCGAACGAAAGAATCTTGAAATTGGAGGACGGCACGGACATACCGATCGATGATGCGTTTGAAATTTTCCGCTCCATCAGCTTCGACGACTCTATAGATGGTGATTATCTCGAGCTCTTTTTAAATGGGACTATCACTCGAAGTAATTACCATATACATATTTAACCTTCCGAATTGTTTCTCGTGTGTAGCTACGGAAGATCAAGAGAAACTGGAATTAAAGAGATTAGAAGTATCCGGTAGTAAAGAACAACATCAGCAGCAGCAACAGCAGCAGCAGCAGCAGCACTTACAAACCACTCAGATAGTCCAACAGAGCGGAAGTCCCCACGCATCTCAAGAATACTTCACCGGTCCTGTGCTGTCGGTACCGTCGGTCTCCCTGCCAACCTTACCATCGCTACAAGTGACTAGTGCCGGCGTTCAAATAGAAGCAGACATATCAACCGGCTTGCAATTAACTAGCACGCAGTCCTTGCAAAACCCGGCGTTAAAGAACCGTCTGAGAGCTTTCGAAGAAGGTTTCCGTCAAGGTAGTATACACTTCCGCGAATGTATGCAGCATATTAGCAGTGATACTTTCCAGCCGCAGTTGCTACTACAGTCTTCTCAAATAAGTAAGTTCGATTAAGACGGCAGCCGGTGCGAGTAACGCACCGTGCGACTGCGTTTGCACGGACGGATGATGGATTGATCGTTTCTTTTTTTCTCTCGCTCCCGCCCAGCGTTTCCCACGCAAACATTGCCACCAGTGAGCGGAGCAACCGGGATAATAGATAGTATACCTCATCAGTCGAGTGCATACGCACAATCGACAGCTTGCAGTACGAACCAGGTGCAGGTGGCCACTCAGACCCAAGCACCGGCCACCACGACCACGGCGAACGTCGTCGCGCCGGACAAGAAGCAAGTGTACACGGCGCCGACGACCGGCAAGGGCAAAAAGGCTAGATATCAGGTTTTATCTCAGCAGCAATCTTGCCAGCAACCACAAACTGCCAATGCTCAACAGACTCCCAATTTCCCCGCGCAGAACTATCAACTGGATCCGGCAGCAGGTGAGACGCTGTGTGACGCTGTGTGATTCCGTACTTGCGTAGGCCTTGCCTCGATACCGAGAACAAACTGCCGTCGATGAACTTCGCCTACCCGATCACCGGCCAATATGCAATAAATGTTCTTGCAGTTGGAGGCTATGCCACCAATCAAGTCCCGCCCACTCCGTTCTCATGCATGGACGTTGACTCGGAAACGGACAGCAACCACGATACAGCGCTGACTTTAGCTTGTGCCGGTGGTCACGAGGATTTGGTTGAACTTTTGCTAAGCCGGGGCGCAGATATAGGTGAGTGAAATGTGACACGAACGTAATGCATTTGATGGAATTAAAACTACCGGGGGCCGTTCGATTGGTTCGCGCGGATTTTCACGAGAAATCCCAGCCAAGTAAGAGTCTGAACATTGGAGTTCGACCTTGGTAAAAACGATGTCTGATTTGTCGTTAGAGTGTCTATCCTTATAAAAGAAATCCACAGTATATCGTGTTATCACCTCTAAAAGAACATTTTAAATGTTTTCTATGGTGCCAATTAAAATGAATTATCGAATAACGCTACATTCTCATCGTGCGACATTTAATTTTACTTCACTTTCTGTCGCGGGCTGCGAATGAAGCGTTACGGTATACGTTTAAGAAGTTCTCTCATATCACGAATCGTCGATCGTCTGATCTCGCGTTTCGTCGTCATGAATCGTATGATTTTACTCGGTGGTTTCCAAGATATCAGTCTGCAACACTTTATTCCACCCGCTCCGTGTATACACACAATCTGTGCGCCAACATAAGTTTGTAATTTCTCACAATATTGATTTGTATTACAGAGCACAGGGATAAGAAGGGATTCACGCCTCTTATTCTGGCCGCAACGGCTGGTCACCAGAAAGTAGTGGAGATACTACTGAATCACGGGGCGGACATAGAAGCTCAATCGGAACGTACCAAGGACACGCCGTTGTCGCTCGCGTGCAGCGGCGGCAGATACGAAGTGGTCGAGCTCTTGCTGAGTCGCGCGGCAAACAAGGAACATCGAAACGTGTCTGATTACACCCCGTTGAGCCTCGCTGCATCCGGCGGTTACGTGAATATAATAAAGCTCCTTCTTAATCATGGCGCCGAGATCAACTCGCGCACCGGTTCCAAGTTGGGCATCTCTCCGCTGATGCTTGCTGCCATGAACGGGCACACCGGTGAGCTGTAGTTCACGTAAAATCGTTCAATTGCTCGTAAAAGTCAACTGTGCGTGCGCATGCGCGGTTGCTGAGAGCCGATACACCACGTCGTGTTCTTCTGTATTCTGTAGTAAAACCGTAATGACGATTTTTACAGCGGCGGTGAAGTTACTTCTGGACATGGGCAGCGACATTAACGCTCAAATCGAAACCAATCGCAATACAGCATTAACACTCGCGTGTTTCCAAGGAAGACACGAAGTCGTTAGCCTTTTGCTTGACCGAAAAGCCAATGTCGAGCATCGAGCAAAGGTGATGAATGCATGGAATTCAGTTCTTAGTATAGCTATGCGTAACTAATAAGCGCGCGTTCTTTTCCGGCACGATTAATTTCTAACGCGAAGTCAATTTGTTCGCTCATAAAGACGGGCCTCACGCCTCTGATGGAAGCGGCGAGCGGTGGATACGTCGAGGTCGGACGAGTACTGCTTACGAAAGGCGCGGATGTCAATGCGACACCTGTCCCGTCGTCTCGCGACACCGCTCTCACTATCGCTGCTGATAAAGGTCACTGCCGTTTCGTCGAACTGTTACTGTCGAGGTAATTCTTTCTCGTTGCGATTATTATTCGCCGGACTCTATCGATGGGAACCTACATAACTAAGGCCGCGTATTGTATTCACCAGGGGGACTCAGGTTGAAGTGAAGAACAAAAAGGGAAACAGTCCGCTGTGGTTGGCCGCGAATGGCGGCCACCTCAATGTCGTAGATCTACTCCACACCGCGGGCGCGGACATCGATTCGCAGGATAATCGCAAGGTACGCAAGAGATCCATGTGTGACTCTCGTCTGCTTCTTTGAGAAAGCTCTGTGGGAGCTTACGTAAAGTTTTCATACATCTTTGTTCTTTTTGTGACGCTTTTAGGTTTCCTGTTTGATGGCTGCGTTTCGAAAAGGCCACATCAAAGTGGTAAAGTGGATGGTGAATCATGTGACGCAGTTTCCCAGCGATCAAGAGATGACTAGGTACGTAGCGACCATCAGCGACAAGGAGCTCCTTGAGAAGTGTCAGGAATGCGTGAAAGTGATAAGGGCAGCTAAAGAGACGCAGGCCGCCAAAGCGAATAAGAACGCCACGATACTCCTGGAAGAGCTCGATTTGGAGAAGACGAGGGAGGACGCGAGGAAAGCAGCGGCTGCGCGAAGACGGGAGAGGAAGAAAAAAAAGAAGCTTGAGAAGAAGGAGGAGAAACGTAAGCTGCATGAGGAATACAAGAAGAACGAGACAGCTTACGAGGACAAGGACGATAATGGTAAGAAGTCGGGCGACGAGGAATGCGATAAAGCGGACGACAGCGAGCACGAAGGGGGTGACGGCTGCGAGCGAATAGAGAGCGTACCATCGCCGGTGAACAGAAGCCCCGAGGATCCTGATAGGGAGGAGGGTGACAGTGGAATCGATGCAAATAGCCAGGGCAGTTGCAGTAGCAACGACGTGAAGGCTCGAGACAAGAAGAAAGACAAGAAAAAGAAGAAAAATAATAATAATCCCGGTAATAACGAGAAAGACACGTCCCCTCAGCGCTCACCGAAAACTCTTCTCGCGCAAAACACTGCATTATCTCAAAACTCAACGACCTCAACTAAATCCCAAAGTACCACTTCGGATAAGTAAGTAGACTTATTTTCTCTCCAGGTCTGTTCGTTTTCGCTGCACCGCTGAACTGGTGCAATAAGTTGAAGCAAAACAAGTATATGCTTTCTCACTTCAATTTATTGTACTAGTTCAGCGGTGCAGCGAAAACTAACAGACCTTCTGCTTTTGAACTTTGCTCGTGTGTTTTTTTTTTTTTTTTTTTTTTTAATTTTTTAATTCCTTTTTTTCGTAATTTTATGATGAGAAAATTAATCCTAGAAACCCATACTATATTGGGAAAGCCGCACAGGGCATGGCATACTTAGGTTAAATTTTATCTTTCCATAACTTTTGCAAAACTTCACATTTCTCTGCATTTTTTTATTCGATACAGTAAACCTTCAGCAATATAGTTATGACATAAACAAGCTTTTAATATTAATAGTAAAAAAAAATATATATAAATACGAATTTCGGGAAAAACTATTTTTTCTTGAAAAATTCGTATTTTTCAATATATTATGACAAAAGTATTTTCAATAAGCGTATCCGAAAGTAGAAACTTGAAACTTTAACAAAAAAATATATGACATTATTGTGTTTCTTAAAAAGTATAATAATGCGAGAATATAAAAATGGAGTATAAAATTTGTAGTTCACGGATTATTTTCCTTTATTGAAAAATACTTTTATTCCTATATCTTTTTTTAATAAGTAATAGATATAAAAGTAAAATTTGTAGAAGTTATACATATAAATATACACATACATATAAAACATTTTTATTTAATTTTATTTCATATAAATTTGTGACAAACAATTTCCTTTCACAAGGGAAGGTCACGAGATGGTATCCACCGATTTCAATGATATTTCTTGTATAAACCTTAATATAAACCTTTATTGAACAAAAGAAGAAGACCCACTTCTCAGGCAATTTTTAATTAATTTTTAATGAATATTTTCACCTGCAAGCCATATTACCGTGTTGTTCATCGTTGTTGTCAAATAAATATTGTGTAGTTGACTGAATTTTATTTAATAATATTTTAAAAAGTATTAGACTTTCGCAATATACAATCAAAGAAAAACACTACGTCTATAAGAGCTGANTTTTTTTTTTTTTTTTTTTAAGGAGCAGAAAAAAATGCTTCAGAATTTTTCGATTTGATTTTTAATTAACCCTTTGCACTCGAGGACTCCGGGGCGGAGCCATTTAAAATTTGTCTTCAAACTCTTCAAACTCAAATGCAAATAGCAAGAGCGGAATATCCTATACACAATAGTTTTTACGATTTGTCTTTGTCCTTATGTTATGAACTGAAAGTTATTTGCATCGTCTCCATAGCGGAGCCCTCAAGTTTGAAGACAAATTTTAAATGGCTCCGTTCCGGAGCCCTCGAATGCAAAGAGTTAATTTTAGGGATAGCGCTGTATATATCGTAGACA